TTTTAATGTTTCCTATAATCTTATTATATTTACATATATTTAATTTATTAATAGAAAATGAAAATCAATATTAACCACCTACCATTTATTAAATGTTAAAACAGGTAAAAACATTATATTATTCGGGTTTTTTTCATAATCTTTTGACAAATCTTCTCAACCAAATTCGATTGTAAACAATGATTTATTGACATGTTAATTACGTAATTTCATATAATTTTGGAGATAATTTGGTTCTAGGAAATAAGATTTCGAGGAATTTGAGCCATGATTATGATAGACTAACGCCAAAACTTCGTAAATATACTACCTACTTGCGAGTTATATATATTTTTCAGTTATTTATTAATTTTGGTGGGACACCTCACTACAAAAGGTTAAATTATATAGCGGGTTAGATATTCAGGTTAATCAAAAAAAAATGTTAAATTATAATTTTCTTTTAAATAACTTTTCTTGGTATTAATGTATTAAATTGCAATAGTTTGATTTAATAACCTTTTTTGGTGGGGCAAATTGCATGAAAAAGTAACGTACTTTAACTTGATTCCTATTTTGGGTAACGTACTTTCAAAACTTTTATTTTGGTACCTACTGATAGAGCAAATTGCATGAAAAAGTAACGTACTTTAACTTGATTCYTATTTYGGGTAACGTACTTTCAAAACTTTCATTTTGGTACCTAAGATGTAAAGTTTTAAACATTTAAGTACCCGGGTAACTGGTTGAAATATTAACCGATTATCATGCTGATATGGCGAGTGATGTAGTATCAAACTCGGTATTATTTGCTGACGTAGTGAGTGACGTGGATTTTTTTAAATCTAAAATTAGTCTTTTTTTTTAGTCTAAAATTAGTTTTTTCGGGTTACCCGGGTACTTAAATGTTTACAACTTTACATCTTAGGTACCAAAATGAAAGTTTTTAAAGTACGTTACCCAAAATAGGAATCAAGTTAAAGTACGTTACTTTTTCATGCAATTTGCCCTTTTTGGTGTTAATGTTTTTATATTAGTTATTTTATAACCAAATTGTTAATGCATTTAAAGGTGCATTAATTCTGTAATGATTTTGTTGTTCCAATCATTTAATGCAATTTAATCACCATTAACGATTTTGTTGTTCCTTTTTTTAAGGAATATCTATTAATTATTAATGATTTTTACCCATAATTAATGCACTTTAAATACATTTACCAACATTTAATTTAAATAAAATCATAAATGCGCAATTTACGAAGTTATTTTAGAGATTTATCCCTTTAAAATATGAACCTATTTTTCATTATTTTTCCTTACCCGAGTAATATTTTTCAAATCATACTTAGTAACAAAAATAAGAATACGAAGAAACGAAATTGTTTGCGAAATACGTATATAGTTTGTGTAGCAAATGATGTAGAAAATTTGTAACATCCGTTCTCTGTCTTTCTCCGTTTCAGATTGAGTGTTCATATAGTAATATTTTAGTTTGTTGCAAAATAAACGTTCGTTTTAAAAAGTGAGCTTCTGATTTCCCATTTTACCCTCAATAATGAGATTAATAAAGTTTATTTCTCTATTATCAAGGGTAAAAATGTCAAAACTATGTGTCATTATCATTGTGGATATTTGTTTTGACACGTGATATGAGATATAGTATATCACAATACTATCATACTGTATCGAATTTATTTGTTAATATTATTAATTCAATACTACAATATCACATTTGCATATAGACTTACATTTTCATATATCAAGAAATATAAATTTACACAACTGGTCTCACTAATTACAAAAGTTACGTTACACAGTAGCTACCAAATTTTTCAACAAATTATCTATACAACACTTTAATACATAACAAGTATCCAGATACAAAAGAAAATTATACTAGCCTAAAATCTCATGCAAACATATTATTATCACTTCACAATTTTCCCTTCCTCCTATCCTCAGGTTGTGCCCGACCTGTAATACACATTTTTGAAACACAAAATGAAGGTTAGACCTTGAGGTCTAGTGAGAAATCCCTTTGATACGATTACAGGGTGAAAAATCACCAAACTCATTTACGAACTCATATTTGTAATAATAACAAATATACATCATTTTGATATAATAAACCTCATTTATCGCTTTAAAATAATCAAATTACTTCATAAACACATTATGAGTAAACTTATCACATCACATAGATGTATGTATACTTTTCTCACATCACATGGTGAGACAATCTCATTTCCTCGCATCACACTGGTGCGATAAACCCAACTTGTCGTGTCATATACGTGCAATGAGTCAACTTGCCGCACACAAACTCATTCCTCACATCACACTATTGCGATAAACCCAACTAGTCGCGTCATATAGGTGCAATGAGTCAACTCGTCGCACACAAACTCGCTCCTCGTAGCACACTGGTGCGATAACCACACTTTATATAAATAAGATGCGATAACTCTAAGTCACCGCATCACAAGGATGCGATAATTATGAATTTTTTATCAAAACCCAGATTTTATATCTCATGATTTTTCCACCATTATCCTGATATACATTTTTCATTGATATGCAACTCTTATCCCAGTATACAGATCTCCTTGATATAACACCCTTATAACCAAAATACACTAAGCAACAGGGATGTTCGTGGTCCGGTTTGGGTGGTTTAACCTCCTAAACTACAAACCAAACCGCAATGGCGGTTTATGATATTTTCCACACCGAACGGTTTGGTAGTAAATGACCAAACCGGTCAAACCGGACCACAAAAAAGGTGGTATGGTCTGACTGGTTTAGGCGGTTTTGTGTTTCTTATGGGTTTTAAACTCAAAAAAAAACATTTAACATTTATATTAAAATTAAATTTCTATCATTATAAAATTAATAAAATATTGAATTATACATGATATATCTATCTCTATAATTTAAATAAAAACACATTAAAAAAGTTGAACATATATCTATCTCTATAATTTAAATAAAAAAACATTAAAAAAGTGGAACATAAAATATTGAATTATACATGATATATCTATATTATATATGGAATTCAAAATTTTGTCAATTTAGATGACACGGTCAATTGAGAAATATAAACTGAAGACATAAAGTCTCGGACGAACTTTTTTAAGTGTGCCATAAAGTTGAACATATTACAGGAAAACTAAATATCATTAATATATGTGTATTTTTTTGACGGTTGGTTCGGTCAAACCGCTCAAAAAAAGGTTCAAATCGTAAATCAGACCAGACCGAACAGTTTGGCTATTTTCCAAACTGGATCAGACTGCCAAACCATTCAAATCACCAAAAATGATCCGGTTTAAATGATCCAATGGGTTTTTTGAACACCCCACCAAGTAACCCTAAATTAAATTTCAATTCTTGTCTACCTAACTCACTTAAACACTTACCCTAAATATCAACTAAAAGATCCCTTTGAGAACGCTAAAAGGTTTCACTATAACCACTTGGGTTGCTCTGTACTAGTTAAGTATCAAGGGATGTAGTGAAAAATCTTATCTACTTTGAGTTTGAATTATGGGGCTGTCAAAGCCTTTCAAGTTGTGAAGGTTCACGTGTGATGATTCCAAACCATTCGTGATCGCCCAAAGGAGTAATATGTGCTCGTAAATTGGTCTGGAAACCCACGATTACCAAGAAAAAAAAGGTTCACTATGACTTGGGTAGAGGTATGCAGAACATCAACCGATCCAATTGGAACCGACCAATTCAATTAGAATCGACTGATCATAATTGGATATCCAATTGTAATTGGATCGGATTGGATTAAAAATTTCAACATTTGGATCGGTTTGTTCTTGGATGACAGTCCAAAACCGACCGAACTGAACCAACCAACATCCAATTAACCATTTGATGAACATTCGATTATCCATTCAACCATTATCCAACTATCATCCAATTAATTGTTTTCAATTTGATTAGGAATATGTTTCGTGTTGAACTTTTAACTTCGTTTGTGTTGGTCTGATACTAAAAATTAAGTGATTAATTTCAAGAAAATATCATGAAAAATCATTAAATGTCATTTATTCATCAATCAATTAAACAAAGAAAATCGTCAATTCTTGTAATCCCGCCATCTCAAACTCAAATCTTGCCCGAAAGCCCATCCTTGATTTTACGAACAGTGACGATATCCGTCTTGAAAGACTTGGCCAATATCCCATCATCAATGCTACTATTGAAAACCGAATTCGGAACCGATACCGTTCCAGCGTTCGCACTGCCAAACGCGGATACAGCAAAAGCTTGATTCTTTCCGTCACCGTTATACTGGAAATGAACAAGTCCCTTAGGAAACACGAAAAGGTCACCAGTCTCAAGTGTCTGAGTAAAAAGCCTATTGGTGGTGTCAACGAAGCCCACCTGCAACGATCCACCGAGAACGAACAAGAGTTCAGACGCTCGTGGATGAGCGTGGGGAGGGTTGACAGAACCAGGAGGGAAATCAAGAACCGCGTAGGAAACGCTTTGGCCATTAAGAGCTGGGAATTCAGCCATACTTGCTTTGAAAACCTTGAAAGTTGTTGCGTCTGGAGCCTCGACTAAAACCCGCATACCTGTGAACGTGAAAAAGTTCCCATCCACGGTTTGATTGCCCGAAGGAACGATGAAGTCGGATAGAATGTCGGGATCGCCGGCCATTGTTCCGTGGAGAGCTGCAAGTACAAGGGCAACAGTAAAGAATTTGATCTTCATGATATTGTGCCTGTAGGAATAGATGGAAGAAAACCGTATATGAGACCGTTTTCTTGATGTGCGAATTACGATTTACGAAATGCGAGTTTATAGGAGAAACGAATTGGGAACTACAATGATCTTGTGTCGGGATATCCTTCTTTCAACGGGTTTTTGGTCGAAAGTTGGGAAATACAATGTCGTAGCGATGCCGGCCGGCCATCGTTGTTTATGTTTCTGCACATCTTGTTTTTATTGCTATTGTTGTGTTGGTTTTTGAATTTTTAATAATTCATATTAATTAATTTATTTGATTGTTGAAAATTTGAATTGAATTAACACAATGGATGAGTCCAATCCCATCGGATCATCCATTGGATGTCGAATGAATCCAATCTGATCTATTGACATCCAATAAGAATATTCAATAGATGGAATCGGACCGATTTAATCATTTGTTGGATTGGATCGGTTATTCAATGTTAATCGAATTGGATCAGTTGGCAAAATTCAACTTATAATGGAAGATCAGATAGGTTTGATTCCCCTCACATCCAATAGATGTTAACCGATAAGCAAGCATAGTTTCGGGACTAAAACCATGTCCCTCAAGTAGAAATGGAAAAGGACAGGTATTCGGTGGATAATACATCCCCCGACCCCCGTTTAAGCCCCCATCCCCGACCCCACCCCAATGGATTTAGGAGAAGGAATCCCTATCGGGTTCATGGAACCCGCAAGGCACCTGTTTATAGAAAATAATAAAAACAATGTATTTTAAAAATTACAATTATAATGAATCGTTACTACATTAATTATCAGTATTAAAAATCAAATATTATGTCGTTTAATAATAAAGGAGACGAATCATTTGATAAGAGAAGTTATTGAGAAACGTAAGTAGACACTCTTGATCACTTTTAATTCCATACTCACCCATGAATTATGCTTCAAAAAAAAAGTTGATCTAGTACATTTCAGTGCATCTCATTAGTGTTAACATTCAGTTAGAATTAATCCAAAGATGATGATCTCTTCTTACCTTCTCACTGTTACTTCTCTCCTCAATGAAACTCAGCCCTAAAATAAATATGTGTATATATATATATATATATATATATATATATATATATATATAT